ATTTCAGTTTAACTAACAATTGGGGATGGATTTGCCTTTGGAGAATAGTCTCATTTAGCAGACAGCAAGTTGCCGAAGCCTCTTTCGGTGCCTGGGAGAGGCCTCCCGTAGCTTGACGACGAGAAATGTATTGCGATTTTATGACGCTCATATAAAGCCGATAGTGTAGTATGTTTGTGTGCCTGTGCACACATGTGTGAGGAAGAAGGGTGGCATCCAAACAAAGGATGTGTAAGCAATTTTATGTATTTGGAGAAACCTCCCTCCTGCTCCAGAGCATTTTGCCGTCTTTGTCAGAGTGAATGACAACAATTTGGCCAACTCTCTCTAAGCCACACTCAACAGTGACAGGCAAATTATCAGAGGCCCTGCACTCCTTATTATCAGAAGAGAAGTCATCAGGGGGACGCGTGGAATATCCCTCTCCCCTGTCACTATTTGTCAGTGGGACAAGGGCCACGGCTATGGGTAGCTGACAGGTAATTTCAACAATAACAATTACTCCTATTACTGGTGTCATAAACAATTCGCCCAAGGCTTGACAATAACAAAGCGTTATAATTCAATGCCATATAAATAAATGCCAGCAGGTAACAAGTAATTTAGCTCCAATCAAGCCCTGGCCCCAAAATTAATATTGTTATTGCAGGAAAATGGAAAATTGAAAAAAAATCAGTATGTTAATGAATTAAGAACGGGGTTCAATGGGCTACAAAAGGAGCAGAAATTTTTAAAACAATTCACTTTGAGTTCACATGGCCATATAGCCCGGAAAAACCTACAACAACCCAGTGATTTTGGCTATGAAAGCCTTCGACAATACATATTCACTTTGCGTTAGTTTGTGCTTAAATATATATATTTTCCATTCATATGATATTAATGGCTGTGCACGTTTGTATTTCAGATTCAGAGAAAAATAGAATTCCGCTTTGTTCCGATATGACTCATCGCCGAGCAACATTTAAAAAGCATCCTTAAGAATCAGTGCGTTTGTGTGCTTTCCCATTGTTTTATTGCAGACAGAATCTAATTGAAGAAGCCATGTGCCTTAAAGATAAGCTATTGGCTGCCTGATCCAGATCCATCGTGAAATGGAGTGCTGAGATTTATATGCCTTTCCGTCTCATTCAATGAGAAAATGCTGGTGTAAACACAAGCAGTTCGATTTTACTGGAATGCTAATTAGAATAAAAATGCATATTTCAAAATTAAGCATGTGATTTTTTTCTCTTTTTGCTTTCAGGTTTTAAAACAGGAACTGAAACTTGTCTTTGCAACGATGTATATAAGTACCATCCTGCTTTCTTCTTCTCCAATCCTGACTTTTTARGGTACCTTTCACAAAAAATAAAAATGTTAACATTTTATTTTTTCTCGCACGAGAGTAACACARGCAAAACATTGGAAGAAAAAAGACCCACCAGAAGAAGAGGAATGGATGACAAAAATACTTGATATAAGAAACATGGACAAACTAACTTATATATTATCCAGGAAAAAAGGGCACTCCAATGACAGAAATAGACTGGAATCYAGTCACAGCATYTTTAGCAAAAYAGAASATGAAAATAATTATATGAAAGAAAAGATGGAAAATAAAAACCAGGGGCGAGCAAGAMACAAAAGAAGGAAGAARGATGATGAAGAGGAAGAAGAGAAGGAAGAGGAAAGAACCTCCTAGAACAGGGGTCCTCAAACTTTTTAAACAGAGGGCCAGGTCACAGTCCGTCAAAGTGTTAGAGGGCCGGATTATAATTTGAAAAAAACATGAATGAATTCTTATGCACACCACACATATCTTTTTTAGTGCAAAAAACCACATAAAAACAATACAATACTTAAAATGAAGAACAATTTTAACAAATATAAACTTATTCATATTTCAGTGGGAAGTGTGGGCCTGCTTTTGGCTGATGAGATAAGATTGTTGTTGTTGTTGTTGTTGTTGTTGTGTGCTTTCAAGTCATTTCAGACTTAGGTTGACCTTGAGTGAGGGCCGGGTAAATGACCTTGGAGGGCCACCTCCAGCCCCTGGGCCTTAGTTTGAGGACCCCTGTCCTAGAAGATACCAGGAAGTCAACCCCATATCCACAACAATCAAACCCCCTTCCTCACTGTGTACTCTTTATTTCTATTTCTGCACTATACACTCAATATGAACCCAATATTCACCGGAACAGGTGGATATGGGTACTTGGTAAAAAGGAACACCTTGACGGAGAGAAACCAGACACTTTTTTTTACCTCTACTACTTTGCCACCCCCTTTTTTCTCTTCCCTTCTATTCTCTATCCATATACTTTTCCCGCTCAGATTTTTTTTCCTGTTTTTTTCTCTTATATCTTTTGTTTTTATAATATACGTACTTTTTATGGAAAACTAAAAAAAACCTTTAAAATTAAAAAAACATTAAAATTAAAAAAAACATTTTATTTTTTGAAAAAAAAATCCCCAAAAACATTGCAATCCTACGCAAAAGACATTAGAAGTAAATCCCTCAGAGTTCAGTGGGACTCATTCTTAGGTAAAACGTGCATGAGCTCGCACACTCTTAAACACCGTCTCATTACTCCATGTTGATCCAACCAATTTGCAATTTTACTCTTTGTCCACTAAGACAATGTGGCATCACTTTGACAGGAGTAAAAGAATGTGAAAATCTCTAATTAGAAGAGCGGTGGAGCAATTAACGCACGTCAAATTTCACTTCATCAAGTGCCACTCTAATTTTCTCACTAAAAATTAATGGACTTTTTGGGGGGTGTATGTGCGTGTCCCCTCAAGGCGATGTTGATTCAAATCTGCTCAAGATGCAGTCTTGCACAGCTAAGCACCTTCTTGATTACAATCCGACACACTTCTAACTGCTTTCATTCTCACTGCCACAGATACTTTGTCAACAGTCAAATTACGCCACACTGATAACAATGCAGGATGGGGCTCCTCAAAGGAGGTGCCTGTCAGAAATGGCTCCACTTTCCGCAATATGAAATGCCACTGCTTGAAAACAAAACTTGGGGGGGTTTCAGCAGTGATCACACGTTTCCTGTTCTTTTTAAGAAGTGGGATTTGATTTTGCATCACGTGGAAATGCTGTGGGAACTGTCAAAAGGCGGCAAGTGTGGAATGGAAAACAAAGACGGTTTTATTTGTACTGCTGCCTCTCCAACAAAAGCAAAAAGACAAAGGCATTGCTCCTCTTCACTTTTCTTTGATGCACGTGGTGGAGTTTTCCTCTGCGACCACAAACAATAATACAAAGTCTACTTTTAATACTGGACATTATTTTAGAAGCCGAAGGGAATTTGTGGAATAGGAGCCTTTGCTTACAAAAGAAGGAAAAAAATTATATATCAGAGGATATAAATTGCTTTTTAACAAGGCTATGGATATTATGAATATGGACTTGCTAACCCAGAAAGTACGACAAAATAGAGTAACAGCTAATGATATGGAGTGGAACAAATTCATTAACTTTTTTTTTTAAAAAAAAATAACTATAAATATGGTTAAAGTGGGGAAAAAAAGAATCCCCTAAGGGCTATGATATAGTAGATTACAGGATAACCAATCAATTTAGATATGTTAGGAACGAAATTAAAAACATGTCTGCTTGAGGATCCTGGAAGTTAAGGGGAATGTAAATGTATATGTGTTGTACTGCATGGTAGGGTTGGTATTTTACCTTAGTTTATAGTTATCCTTTTGTTTTTTGTTATCTGTTAGGTAGGCACCCTAGGATTGTGGATGGAAGATGAGGTATACTTGTTTTTAATATGACGACTGACCACCGTAGTTTTAAATATAGTTGTTATTTTAAATGTGTTATTGTAATTATGAACTATGATATTTTACTGATTGTATGTTTTTATGGTTGTAAACCGGGCTGAGTCCCTCTAAGAGGTGAGAAGCTCGGTATAGAAAACTTTGAAATAAATAATAAATAAATAGGTATATATATATATGTATACACTGGTAAATACTGTACGCGAAAATATACACATAGAGTACATGTGTATATTTTCGCGTACAGTATTTGCCAGTGTATACATATATATACCTATTTATTTATTATTTATTTTGTTAAGTATGGACTTGTTAAGTATGGACTTAACATACATAGAGGGAACTAAATAGCCCTCAGTTGTTGCTGTTATTTTTTTCTTTCCTGTTTGTCTATCTGTCTGCATGTGTTGCTTAATTTTCTTCAATAAAAATGATTGCAAATAAATAAATAAATTGCTTTTTATGTCAAACAGAACGCTAAAATACAGCCAGTGCAACATTTAAGCTCGTCTTAACGTAAAAGACACACTACACAAACATACACAAATCTGTTTGTTTACTTCTGGCTGAGTTGGAAGTGCCGAAAAGCTTGGGGGGGGGATCCCTCTTATTCAATCAAAGTTGACTCTGGAAAGCCTTGGAAAATTTCCAGCATGATTCACATGCCTCCCCCCTTTTCCTCCCCCAAATTAAAACATGCCTGTGCAGAATCACTAATTAGCAAGTTAACTACTGTAATATACAACTTTGCTACAAATGTCAAATGTTATTGTTTGAGTTTGATTGCTTGCCATCATTTTAACCATCTTCCATGTATAATTTTATTCTGAATTCCTCCAAGTTTAGGTTTTCTGTTGTTGAAACTTAATTAGCCTAAATGGAAGCAGACCATTAGGTAACAATTTGCATTTTCTTCCCCTTTACACCGCAGTATAATTTTTTACTGTGTTATAGATAACAACTTGGTGTGATATCATAACTATATAATTTGGAGATGTAAGCTTAAGAAAATGTTCAGATATTTTTATCATTCTGTGGACAAGATTTTTCTCTGGGTTGTTGTAGGTTTTTTCGGGCTATTTTTCTCCCCTTTCCCCTCCCCATTTTTGGCATGTTGTGTTCACCAGAAAGCATATCTCAACACAAATTACCGAAGCATTTAAAACTTCCCAAGGGGTGGGGAGGTGCAATCAAAAGTGCACCAAGAAAGCTTATAAGAAACATTTCCTTTTTACTGATGATTCTACCATATGCTTAAAAATTGTAATATACAGATTACACAAAGCTATTCAATATATATTTCATACCAAAAGAAAATATCAAAAAGTATACAATCATTCCACCACTTAAACAAAGAACATAAAGGCAAACTGAAAAAATTTAAAAAGGGGGTATGGATATGTAAGAAAATGTGGAAAGATAGCTCTAACGCAACACAATTTTATCTTCGATATTTGGCTTTTGTTTTCAAAATGCTAAATAAACAATACATAATGCATCCCTCATCAACCCCAAACCATGAGGGCTCTGCACTCAAATAACAGGAAACATATTCAATTTTCCTAACAGAAGACAGTTCATTAAGCAGTGCCACATCAAATAAAACTTTAATTTCTCCAGCATCCGAGTCGCAATGAAAGCAATTGATGAAGATGAGCCATATGGTACTTCTATCAGCAAACACATATTGCTCATTCCCCAAAAGTTTTCTAATTCTGCTCCCCAGGCCTGTGTAATATAGATAATGTGCTCGGAGAGCAGCAACCATGAGCTATCTGGTGTACACTTCTAATACTGTATTTAATGGGAAATAATGAATCATAAAAGCCTGCGGAAGACGGCGTTTGCTAACCTAAATCTCAGCTGTAATTTCATTGTTCTGTGCCTAAGATGCTGCTCGTCCTTTCTAAACAAGAGCCACTGAATGTAATAACACAGCCACTGCTTCAAACCTGAGCGGGAGGAGAAATCCTTCTTAATACAACCGGGTTTCGTTTAACTCTTGAGGCTCTGAAGATAAGGAACCTACGATTAAGAAAAAGAGATTTGGGTACTGTTAAAAATAGAATCGACAGAGACACAAACATAGCATGTACATTTTGGTCTATATTGCAGTTGTGAACATATAAAATTTCTGGATTCTGGCAGAAATGTTTAAAAGAAAAAAAAATCTCAGGGTGGCACAACCATGCAAAGTTTCATTTTGCTTATTGGACAAAATATTTTGATTACAGAGCTTTACCATTGAAATTTTTCTCTTATATACATTTTAATTGTTGAGGTAAGGGAAAGGTTATATGAGTGCATGATGAATATGTGTATGTGTTCATCATGCACTCATATAACCATATACTAGTATCACAACTATAAACATTCAGATTTTGCAAGTGTGACTTAAAATGAGTATTTAAAAAAATATATGGACATAAAAATATTGGAGCAGAGATTGTGAATGAAAGTTCTGATTAAGTGTTAGTTTGAAATATATATATACACACACATATATATTACAGAGCTTTACCATTGAAATTATTATTATTATTATTATTTATTATTATTATTATTGTTATTATTATTATTATTATTATTATTATCTTTATTTGTACCCCGCTAACATCTCCCGAAGGACTCAGTGCGGCTTACAAATTTTCTCTTATATACATTTTAGTTGTTGAAGTAAGGGAAAGGTTATATGAGTGCATGATGAACACACACACACATATATACACATATTCATCATGCACTCATATAACCTTTCCCTTACCTCAACAATTAAAATGTATATAAGAGAAAAATTTCAATGGTCAAGCTCTGTAATATATATATATATATATATATATATGAGTGCATGATGAACACATACACATGTGTATGTATATTTCAAAATAACACTTAATTAGAGCTTTCATTCACAATCTCTGCTCCAATATTTTTATGTCCATATATTTTTTTAAATACTCATTTTAAGTCACACTTGCAAAATCTGAATGTTTATAGTTGTGATACTAGTATATGGTTATATGAGTGCATGATGAACATACACAAACACATATTCATCATGCACTCATATAACCTTTCCCTTCCCTCAACAATTAAAATGTACATAAGAGAAAAATTTCAGTGGTCAAGCTCTGTTATCAAAATATGTTGTCTAATAAGCAAAATGAAACTTTGCATGATTGTGCCACCCTGAGATATTTTTTTATTTTAAACATTTTTGCCAGAATCCAAAAATCTGAACAGAAAACTGGTGTCCTATATCTGTCTTATTTACACAAACTCACATTTGGAAACAGCTGTAATGGGATGGATGCGGAATATATATATTACAGAGCTTTACCAGTTTTATTTTGCTTATTAGACAAAATATTTTGATTACAGAGCTTTACCATTGAAATTTTTCTCTTATATACATTTTAATTGTTGAGGTAAGGGAAAGGTTATATGAGTGCATGATGAACACACACACACACACACACACACACATATATTCATCATGCACTTATATAACCTTTCCCTTCCCTCAACAATTAAAATGTATATAAGAGAAAATTTTCAACGGTAAAGCTCTGTAATCAAAATATGTTGTCCAATAAGCAAAATTAAACTTTGTATGATTGTGCCACCCTGAGATTTTTTTTAAACATTTCTGCCAGATTGTTTAAAAGATTGTGAATGAAAGCTCTAATTAAGTGTTAGTTTGAAATGTACACACACACATGCATATATATATATATTACAGAGTTTTACCATTGAAACTTTTTTTATATACATTTTAATTGTTGAGGTAAGGAAAAGGTTATAGAAGTTGGTGAATACACACACACACATATATATATAATAATCTAACTGCAATAAGCCAAGCAAAGTTTCATTTTTTATTATACAACATACACACACACACACACACACACATTCATCATGCACTCATATAACCTTTCCCTTACCTCAACAATTAAAATGTACATAAGAGAAAAATTTCAATGGTAAAGCTCTGTAATCAAAATATGTTGTCTAACTTTGCTTGGCTTACTGCAGTTAGATTATTATTGTGCCACCCTGAGATTTGTTCTTTTACACATTTCTGCCAGAATCCAGAAATCTGAACAGAAAACTGGTGTCTTATATCTGTCTTATTTACACACACACATTTATATTACAGAGCTTGACCACTGAAATCTTTCTCTTATATACATTTTAATTGTTGAGGTAAGGAAAAGGTTATATGAGTGCATGATGAACACACACACACACACACACACACACATATATATTCATCATGCACTCATATAACCTTTCCCTTACCTCAACAATTAAAATGTACATAAGAGAAAAATTTCAATGGTAAAGCTCTGTAATCAAAATATGTTGTCTAACTTTGCTTGGCTTACTGCAGTTAGATTATTATTGTGCCACCCTGAGATTTGTTCTTTTACACATTTCTGCCAGAATCCAGAAATCTGAACAGAAAACTGGTGTCTTATATCTGTCTTATTTACCCACACACACATTTGGAAACAGCTGTAACGGGATGGATGCGGCAATATATGACGCCCATACAATTTAATTAAAAAGAGCGACTTTTAAAAGTCAGAGATTGCCTTTGAGAGCTTATTAAAACCAGCATGTCCCAGGTCTCGTCGTTGAATTAGCAGGAGAGACTTGATTGCCTTCACGAAGGCGGGTTGCTTGGGTGCTGCTCCCACTCTGGTTGACAACCAGTGAGTTTTCTGCCTGTAAAATCTATATAAAAGAGCCGCATTGTCCCCTTTGGTGTGGCAATGCTTACTCAGAGGAGGAATGCACAAAACAAAATGCAGTGTCCCAAAGAGTAAAATAAACTTGACAAGTAAAATAAACTTGACAATGTACCAAAGGCAAAGGCGGGTGGGTGGGTAGGAAGAGAGAAAGATATATATCTCTCTATCTGCCTATGTCTCCATCCGCACTGATTATATTTCACGAAGCTTGGAAACAAGTGTTTCGGCAGCCCTGCCACCCACGCCTGCAACCAGGGCAGAAACCCTCTGCATGCTCTAATGGGTTCCAATGACAATGGTCTATTGCAATGTAAAACAAGCTGGAGGATAAAAAGGTGCTTTCTGTTACCATTTTATCAAAGCTGTTCATCTTCTAGCTGCAGGCAGCATTTTGCTGGAATGGCAGATATTTCTCTGTCCAGGCGCCTTTGTTTGTGCATCTCATTTGCATATATTTGTCTCCAGCTGAGGGTGCTTTCAGCTCATTACGGCCTCCCCTCCCATTCTTTCCTAAGCCAGCTGCTAAGGAGGCATTTCACCTGTGGGGACGTGGCGGCAAGGCACACACAGGCCACAAAACACCAAATCCTTCATAAAAAAGGAAATCTTCAGACTTTCTTCCCCTATCAATGGGCACCATTTGTGTTAAACAGCCTTTTGTCATGATAGATGCCTCTGCGGGTCAGGGGTGAAAGTTGATCTGAAGGTCAGCCATAAAACAACAGGCAAACCAGACGCCAAACGGGTTCCTGAGCTGTCGGTGGGAGCCGTGGTACAACCAGGTCCTGAACCTTTCCCAACCTCTCATAAAACAGGCTAAGAATCTGAAGTGGATCAAGCAGGCCCCTGAGGAAGCGGTGCCGAAAAACGCACACATCATATCAATATCATGCAGCAACAGGAAACAATCGGGACAGCTCTCTCGGCAGCCCAGGCATGCTTCTATTGTTTCAAGAGCCGGGGAATTAATTCCATTTATTTATTTAAGGCGTGTCAACTCGCTGCCTCAACCTGTTTCAGTGTCAAGATGAATAAAACTTTTATGGCTCATAAAATAGAGTAATTCATCTCAATGTTCTTTGCGGTGCCTATCTCCCCCCATATAGAGATAGACCTGCGTTCGAAATGGATGCAGCCAAATGTACTGTTGCTACGGGCTGTACCGTATGAGATGGTGTGCGTGTGTGTGTGTGTTTGATGGGCAAATGGTTCCCAGCACAAACAATAAAGCACAATAGGTTAGAAACTGAGTAATTGCTTTCAAAATTTACACAGACAGACTCTTCCTGGGCTGAAACTCTAGCTGGCCTCGCTTCGAGTTTAGCACTACCCTCTTTTTCTTAAAAAATTACAATCCTATGGAGTACACTTTGCCCTCATATCATATTCAGCTACTTTTTCTTACGCATGAATTTGTTTAATTTGGCCCAATATTGCACTAATGTAGACAATATTATTATTATTATTATTAATAATAATAATAACAATAAACAATAATAACAATAAACCGCTACCATCTCCCGTATCCAAATAATGTAGAATTGACTATTTGGGATTTTCTGATCTGCTGCTCACTTATGATATCGAACTCTTTGCCTGCATTTGTCTTGAAATTATACTTTCAAAAACTTGATTGTGGATGAATGCACAAAAGGAAATCATTTGTTTTGATCTTCAACAGCAAATCATATCTGGATAGCAGAAACAGATTATATGATCGTTAAATATGTTTTATGTGGTTTCATATGTTTTATGGATTAAATCTGAATTGTTTTGAATAAGAAGTTGAATAAGAAGTGGCCGGTGGCGCAGTGGGTTAAACCCTTGTGCTGGCAGGACTGAAGACTGACAGGTTGCAGGTTCAAATCCGGGGAGAGGCGGATAAGCTCCCTCTATCAGCTCCAGCTCCCCATGCGGGGACATGAGAGAAGCCTCCCACAAGGATGATAAAAGCATCAATTCATCCGGGCGACCCCTGGGCAACGTCCTTGCAGACGGCCAATTCTCTCACACCAGAAGCAACTTGCAGTTTCTTAAGTTGCTCCTGACATGACAAACCATCTCCCACAGGACTCGGTGTCGCTTACAATAGGCCGAGACCAAATACATCAGAAACAAAAAACACAACAACAAACAACAACAACATTCCCAAATAGTTAAAAAAACCAAACAAACATCTTTATTATTATTATCCTATTTATTTATTTATTTATTTATTTATTTCGTGCATTTCTACCCCGCCCTTCTCAACTCCCGAGGGGGGACTCAGGGCGGCTTACAAAAGGCACAATTCGATGCCTACACAAACAGCAAAATAAAACATATATAAACAGCAAGTATAAACAATTAAAACTATCAATTATACATCACAATCAATAAAACCAATCTCATGCTCAACGTTTGCCAGCTCAGAATCCGTAAATTCATTCCACATTGTCAATTCCTATCAATTCTAGTCAATCTAGTCAATCCTATAATCAACTTCAACCAGAAGTGCTAGAGAACTTAATATTCTTGAGAACTTAGATATTCCCAGAAAAAAAATGTTCTCTCAATTAAAAAATAGAATTTAAAAATTGTGGGAGTTCTGTCCCCCTAAACCCAGTGAACATGGAGGGCTAGCTGTAGTTCTTAGTTCTAATAATAATAATAATAATAATAATAATAATAATAATAATAAACCTTTATTTATACCCCGCTACCATCTCCCACAGGACTTGGTGCGGCTTACAATAGGCCGAACCCAAATACATCAGAAACAAAAAACACAACAACAAACGACAACATTCCCAAACTATTCCCAAATAGTTTAAAAAACCAAACAAACATCTCTATTATTATTATTATTATTATTATTATTATTATTATTATTGCTGTCAACACAACAACAACATGATCATTGTCTTCATTAAACAACAACAACAAGGTAAAGGTCTTCTCCTGATATTAAGTCCAGTCGTGTCCGACTCTGGAGCTTGGTAATGAGCGCTGTTTTAAATTGACTGTGAATTGTTTTTTATATACCTTTATGTTTTATTTAATTGTATTTTAAATTGTTTTCTTTTTATGTTCTGTTTTTAGGCACCTTGTGTTATGTGTAAGCCGCCCCAAGTCCCTTTGGGAAGATGTTGGCAGGATACAAGAATAAAGAAGTTATTATAGAATCATAGAATCAAAGAGTTGGAAGAGACCTCATGGGCCATCCAGTCCAACCCCCTGCCAAGAAGCAGGAACATTGCATTCAAATCACCCCTGACAGATGGCCATCCAGCCTCTATTTAAACGCTTCCAAAGAAGGAGCCTCCACCACACTCCGGGGCAGAGAGTTCCACTGCTGAACAGCTCTCACAGTCAGGAAGTTCTTCCTCATGTTCAGATGGAATCTCCTTACTTGTAGTTTGAAGTCATTGTTATTATTATTATTATTATTATTATTATTGACACAAAAATACAGTATGTCACAGCAAACGAGATATATATGCTGGATTTCGTATCGCAAAATCACAAGTCGAACACTTGCCAAGCGTCTAGGACTGTGTGATGTATTTTGAATGATGAGTGCAGATCCAAGTAAGGTGGCCTTTTGCAGTTGACAGATCATGATTTTGTCAATGTTTATTGTTTCCAAATGCCAACCGAGATCATTTGGCATTATTGTTATTGTTATTATTATTATTATTACTATTATTATTATTATTATTATTATTATTATTATTATTATTATTTGATACACAACAAGAGTAGTACACAGCAAGCAAGATCACTATGCTGGCTTTTGTATTTGATCACAAATATAAAATAATAATAATAGTAATTATATTTATTTATTTATACACCTGTTTATGTCTCCAGTGGGAGACTCAAAGCTGCTTAACATATAAACATCAGCAACCAATTTAAAATATACAGTGGGTTGTTGTAGGTTTTTCGGGCTATATGGCCATGTTCTAGAGGCATTCTCTCCTGACGTTTCGCCTGCATCTATGGCAAGCATCCTCAGAGGTTGTGAGGTCTGTTGGAACTAGAAAAAGGGTTTATATATCTGTGGAATGACCAGGGTGAGACAAAGGACTCTTGTCTGCTGGAGCTAGGTGTGAATGTTTCAACTGACCACCTTGATTAGCATACAATGGGCTGACTGTGCCTGGAGCAACTTTTGTTGAGAGGTAATTAGATGTCCCTGCCTGCTTCCTCTCTGTTGTTGTGCTGTTGCAATTTTAGAGTTATTTACTAGTTCCAACAGACATCATTACCTCTGAGGATGCTTGCCATAGATGCAGGCGAAACGTCAGGAGAGAATGCCTCTAGACTATGGCAAGATAGCCCGAAAAACCTACAACAACCCAGTGATTCCGGCCATGAAAACCTTCGACAATACATTAAAATATACAATTATTAAAAGAGCATTAAACACAATTCTTATTCAAAACAATTCAGATTTAATCCATAAAACACATAAAACATATTTAACATACCTTTATGTTGAAGTACTTTGGCCACATCATGAGGAGACAGGAAAGCCTAGAGAAGACAATTATGCTGGGGAAAGTGGAAGGCAAAAGGAAGAGGGGCCGACCAAGGGCAAGATGGATGGATGGCATCCTTGAAGTGACTGGACTGACCTTGAAGGAGCTGGGGGTGGTGACGGCCGACAGGGAGCTCTGGCGTGGGCTGGTCCATGAGGTCACGAAGAGTCGGAGACGACTGAACGAATGAACAACAACAATAACCTGTTTCTGCTATCCAGATATGATTTGCAGTTGAAGATCAAAACAAATGATTTCCTTTTGTGCATTCATCCACAATCAAGTTTTTGAAAGTATAATTTCAAGACAAATGCAGGCAAAGAGTTCAATATCATAAGTGAGCAGCAGATCAGAAAATCCCAAATAGTCAATTCTACATTATTTGGATTTGAAAACAGAACGTCAATGTCCAGTCAACTCGTTTTTAAATGTGTACGAAATATGTAAGAATTTCTAGCAGAAAGTTCCCACCGAAATTTCATCCCAGAAATGTCAATTGTAATGTGAATTGTGTTTCAAATAAACAAAATGAATATTTTATCCTCTTTTGGATCCACATCAGTATGTTTAATATCAAAAGACAATTTGGAATGAACAAGTGTCATTTTTCTTTCATGCTTTATCCAAATCTGTCCGTCAGCGTAATGAACCACTTTGCTTGTGTGATGTGCAGGTGCTAGCAAAAATTTACATTTCTTTAGGAGTACGTGTTGTAACTTTAAAAGCTCGCATTGTCTACAGTGTAAAGACATCCCTGCAATTTGTTTCAGCCTGTCTTATTCCGGCTGACTCCTAACCTCCCCCCAAGCACCTGAAAAGTCACATGGAAGTAGGGAATACTTGCAACAAATCAAAAAAAGTTTGTATGTGACAATGCACCAACACCTTTTCAATTCTAAATCTCTTAAAGTGCAGCTTTGACTAAAATATACTGGAAATGTATTGTCGAAGGCTTTCATGGCTGGAATCACTGGGTTGTTGTAGGTTTTTTCGGGCTATATGGCCACGTTCTAGAGCAGTGGTTCTCAATCTTCCTAATGCCCCGACCCCTTAATACAGTTCCTCATGTTGTGGTGACCCCCCAACCACAACGTTATTTTTGTTGCGACTTCATCACTGTAATTTTGCTAATGTTATGAATCGTTTTTTTTTTTTTTTTTTTTTTTTGTTGTGGTGACCCCAACCACAAATTATTTTTGTTGCGACTTCATCACTGTAATTTTGCTAATGTTATGAATTGTAATGTAAATATCTGATATGCAGGATGCATTTTCATTCACTGGACCAAATACCCGATATGCCCAGATTTGAATACTGGTGTGGTGGGGGTTTGATTTTATCATTTGGGAGTTGTAGTTGCTGGGATTTATGGTTAATTTAAATTAAAAGAGCTTAAGGTCATAACGTCAGAGATCAGACCAAGCGTGATCGCAATGGCAAACTAAATTAAAAGAGCATTCTTAACT